GGGAGCCAGGGTGAAAAAAAAACCAACAAAACCCACAGAAAAACCCGGGTATTTGTGTTTCTTTCAGTGGACATCAAAGTGCTGCAGAGCGCCCTGGCTGCCATCAGACACGCTCGCTGGTTCGAGGAGAACGCTTCCCAGTCCACGTGAGTTTGGCCGCAAAGAGGAACCGCTCAAAATCCTCCCTGACGGGAGAACCGTGTGGGGGGAAGCCAGGAGAGCCCCTCCCGCGGCGGGAAGGCGCGCGGTGACGCACGGCAAACCCTCCTCCTGCCGTCTTCTCCAGGGGGAAGGTGTTAATCCGGCTGCTGAAGGACCTGAGGATTCGGTTCCCCGGCTTTGAGCCCCTCACGCCCTGGATTCTGGACCTGCTGGTGACGTGCCAGAGCGCTCTGGGCCCTCGGGATTTTTCAGCTTCCCTCGTAGGAAGCCGCTCTCACCCTAACTCCCTGTTTCTTCTTTTGTTTCCTCTCTTCAGGGGCACTACGCCGTGATGAACAACCCCACGAGGCAGCCCCTGGCTCTCAACATCGCCTACAGGTCTGTTGCCGTTTGAATTCCCGTCATCGTCTTGGTTTTGAACGTACCAAAGGAAAACAGTGAAATCTCTGGGCTCAGACCGGAGACAAAGCCGACTTCGCACGTAGTTTTGCTATTTCCATGCTGGAACGGTCTCGTTTTTAACCCCAAATCCCGTAGGCGCTGCCTGCAGATCCTGGCCGCGGGGCTTTTCCTCCCTGGCTCAGTCGGGATCACCGATCCCTGCGAGAGCGGGAACTTCCGCGTGCACACCGTGATGACGCTGGAGCAGCAGGTGAGCCGCCTCGCCCCGAGGGACAGGGACACGACGTCCCCGCTCGCTCTGACCTCCCCGTCCCCGCAGGACATGGTGTGTTACACCGCGCAGACGCTCGTCCGGATCCTCTCCCACGGAGGCTACAGGAAAATCCTAAGAGGGCGACGCCAGCTGTGAGGGAATTTTCCTCCGCACGGGCCAACAGCGCCTTTCCTGCGCCGCCGGAGAAAACAAAGGGATTGTTTTTATGGTTTTCTGGCAGACCTCGCTTCCGAGATGTCCACTTGGGATGGAGTGATCGTGACGCCTTCCGAGAAGGCTTATGAGAAGCCTC